AGAGGCACCCCACCATTCTCAGGAGACGATGTGGAGCAGGCGTAAAGGAGCACAACACTGACACCCATTCTCACCCATCTCACCGTCATTAATTTGGCCTGTTAGTTACTTTTTAACCTCAGATAGCCCTAATGAACATTCTTCCAGAAAATATTTTTAAAAGACAAGAGCAGCTACTAATTTCTAATTTTGTATAATTCCCCTTTAGCCCCTAAAAAGTTCATGAAATGATTAAGAACCTTTGATAATGAAAAACAGTAAGTATTTTCTAGACACAGTTGGAAAAACATTTTAGGACTTAGAATAAACATTAAAAGGGGGGGGGAAGAATAGCTACTATGATTAAAATATTCTTTTTGTAGTTAATTTATCCTATATAATAGGCGGCTAATATGCAAATCGACCAAACAGCGGAATGACCAGTCGCTATAATGCGCACTGGCCACCAGGGGACAGATGCTCAACGGAGCTGCCCGCTCAGGGCTGGCGAGCGCAGTGGCAGTGGCGGGAGCCTCTCCCGCCTCGGCGGCAGCGCTAAAAATGTCTGACTGATGGCTTAGACACACTCCCCGAGGGCTCCTGGACTGCAAGAGGGCGCAGGCTGGGCTGATGGACTCCCCCCTGCCAAGTGCACGAATTTTGTGCACCGGGCCTCTAATCTTAAATACAAAAGAATTGGAAAAATACAAGCTGCTTTTCTATTTTGTTGAATTCAGGTTTGCAAGAATTCACCTGAGTATCTTTGCACAAAACCCTCATCACTTTTATATAGGTCTCGGACCTTTATAGATCCTAGAATAGAATGCGTCACAGTCTTGGCTCGAGCAGTGAAAGGATTTTCCAGGACACTTAGGAGGGGACACCCTCATCTTTCACAGGGAGTTACCTGGAGGCAAAACCAGAGCTTGGAGGTTGGGTCACTGCTTTGTAACTACAAGGCGAAGAGGCAGAAGCAGAGCCAGCTTATGCAGGAAGCAATCTTACCTGTACCGTTGAGTGTCGTGTTCTTATTTGTGTAAAGCCTGATCATATGTCCTATCGTTTTCACATTTTCTCTCAACATTATTCCTCGAGCTTGTACCATAAAGAGATACGTGTTGGCTATAAAAGGAAAAGAAGAGAGAGAGAATATCATGACTCAGTAAGCTTTCTTTTTAAATTTAATAAAATATTCAGAATTGGGAAACTGCCCAATAAACCCAAATTGACTTAATTAACATGTCCAAAGGGAAAACAGAAATATAAAATGACTATTTCTAAATTTTCAAAAACTTACCAAAACATTGCTTTTTAAAAATAAAAATGAAAAAAATTAAAGTAGTGATATCCATCAAATAGAATAAGACTGAATGACCAAACAGAAATATCATAATGAATTCCTTTATCTATAAATTATTTTCTACTATAAAATATACTTGGAAATTTCAAAGAGGCATTCTATTACAAGTATGCGATCATCTTCTATATATATAAAAGCCTAAGCGACCAGCTGGTAGCTATGACATGCACTGACCACCAGGAGGCAGATGCTCAACACAGGAGCTGCCGAGCAACAGCAACTTTGCAGAGTGCCCTCTTGCACTCCGGGACCCCTTGGTGGATGTTGGACTGCCGGTTTCAGCCTGATCCCCACAGGCCAGGCTGAGGGACCCCACCTGCCAGAGGGACCCCGCTCACTCCACAGATGCCCCTTCGAGCCCCAGCGCCGCCCCAGGTGTGGCCGGCCGGGGAAGGACCACAGGAGGTTGGCTCCAGGGCGTGTCCAGCACATCTGGCCCAGTCCCACCCCAACGGCCACCTTCTACTAGTAATTTACTTTCCATGTGCACCAATCCGTGCACCAGGCCTCTAGTATAGTTATAAAATGTACTTTCTCTAATTCTATGTGAATTCCCTCAAGCCAAAAAATGCCACAAAGACAAGGATCCCCTACCTAATCATAATATATCCTAAATCACCGTAATGCCCAGTATGGATATGGAGCTTGCAAATTCTCAACGTGTTGGGGCTGCACGGGCAGGATTATCTAGAATCAATATCTATTTTGATCATTTCTCTCTACAGTTAATTACTTGAACTTTTACACTCCCTTTGACTCACGAATCTACCTACCAGGGTTGCAAAAGCAGACAAAATCAATGTGCATTTTCAAAATTGGTCAATTTAAGTCTCCGTGGTAAGTGCTTTAAAAACAGGCCCCTAGTTTCTTCTTTGGGAGAAACTGGTAAATTGACAAAGATTACAAAAAAGCCCTGCCTCCTGAGATGCCCCGTCTTCTCTCCTGGTGCTGACTTTGCTGGCGCATAACCTGGGCAGCTCACTGGGTTTCAGTTTCCTCATCTAAAATAGTCAGTACTGCCCGGCCAGCCTGGCTCAGTGGTTGAGCATCGACCTATGAACCAGGAGATCAAGGTTCAATTCCCAGTCAGGGCACACACCCGGGTTGCGGGCTTGATCCCCAGAAGGGGGCATCCAGGAGACAGCCGATGTATAATTCTCTCTCATCATTGATATTTCTATCTCTCTCTCCCTCTCCCTTCCTCTCTGAAATCAATAAAAAAATATTTTTAAAAAATAAAGTGGTCAATATTGCCCTAGATGTTCTCTGAAGCCCCTTCTACTCTAAATGCTCCACCCACAAAGCCCCCAAATCGTAAGCTCCAATCAGACAAGGGAAGGGGGCTCCTTACCATGGACAAACCAGGAAAGTGCAAGGCTCAGTTCATTAGTGACCCTTTCCATTTTAAGATAAGCTGCTTCTCAACGGTCACGACATCCTCGAAACAAACGAATGCCGATGAAAAAACTGGAGATGCCAACTCAGCTTCTCGCCCCGTTCTACTCCCTCGAGAGGGGCCCGACAGACGAGCTGCCTGCATCGCCTACTACCTCCTTTCCCGTTTTTTACATAAATGTGGTCTTGCTCCAAGTGTAAATGGGCAGAGAGTAAATAAAACGAGCACAGAAACAGAGTAAATAACACTTTCCCTTTCACCTTCAACCCAGAAAAGAGAAACGAATCCAGGTTCGCAGACGCTCTACTTTAGTGATTCCCAAAGTGGGCGCTACCGCCCCCCGGTGGGTGCTGCAGCGATCCAGGGGGGTGGAGATGGCCACAGGTGCATTTGGGGGCGATGAGTAACTGCTATTAAAATTTAAAAACAATTAATTGCCAGGGGCTGAGTAATATTTTTTCTGGAAAGGCGGCGGTAGGCCAAATAAGTTTGGGAACCACTGCTCTACTTCAATCCTCCTTAAGAGCCTGTCTCCTTCCTCTCTGAAAGCAGCCCTATCATTAGATCCGACTTGCTGAGGCTTGAACATGTTGCCCTGATGACAAACACTACGTGCTTTTATTACAGTTTTGCTCTGGAGTGGACTTTAAGAGCAAATAAATAAGAGACAGTGAAAAACAAGGACAGGAAGAAGGGCCAACCAAAAATGTGGGGAAATGGTCAATAAAAGCCAAACTAACCTCAGCAACTCTACCTCAACCAAGATCTCAAGTTCAAATGAAATGATGAAGGAAAAAAACGTCAAAGAGATGACTACCATCAACTGCTTACAACACGTTGGGTCGTGTCATCCTAAAGGCGCACATGAAGCTTGTTATCAGTGATGTCAGTACCTCACAGTGTTTGTTCTGCCTCCGACTGTAAATAGGAGGCAGCGTGGGGTAGCAGGACCAAGCCGAGGGCTAAGCCACAGCAATTCTGCTTCCCAGGCCTCAGGAGACAGCACGGGCCTACGCAAGACAGACCAGGTCAGAACGTACGTGCATGATGTGTGTCCTGGAAACAGAATTGTAAAAACCATATAGCTTTTACTTTTAATGAACATACCTTTCATATAAGGAAAATTGTTTGACATCTTGAAACCAAGTCAAATTTAAGTAGCAAGGAAAAGATCTGGGATAGAAAAAGATAGTCAAATTTCCCTAAAATCTTTCAAAATACCAGGTAACAAAACTATTCATTAAAAAAAATGATCACTGATGGCAGCTGGGACAAAGGTGAAACACTGACCAAAAGAACGCATTTACTCTTCGTCGGATCAATGTGAGAAAAAACAGAGCAAGACATCAGCCTCTCCAAATGGGAAGCCTACGAGTCTATTTTAAATCGCGTACAGCTAATTGAGTTACATCCCTTAGGTTCATGGTCCTCATGGGCTTGGTCCCTAAAGATCCAAACCCACTGGGAAATGAAGCCGAGGTTAAGTAGAAAGTCCTGCTGACAGGAGAAAAGGAATGTGTCCAATGCAGCGAGCCACACCAAACCAGCAGGAAAATGGTTTAAACTGCCTGGTTTCCAAACATCATGGAACTAAGTGAACCCACACTCAAGCAGCCATATGCCTCCTTATGCTTAACATAAAATGTCCGACTGGCCAGCCAATGAGTTAGAGGGAATCCTTGTCTAGCATTTCTATTCCTACGCACAGGAAACTACATCTCAAAAGCAAATAGGCAAACATATGTAAAACTTTAGACAATAAATTTTAAAAAATACATAAACTAAAAAAAAAAAAAAAACTAATAAAAACAAACAGGCAAACCTTCCCCGGCTGTGCCCTTTAGTCTCAGCACAACCAGAAACGCACTAAAAACGACTCTCGCTTAATCAAAGCCGTGCTGTGTTCTCTCATGTAGTTCATTTGCTACCTGTCTTTGCATTGTGAGACAGAAATTTAACTTATTCACCATTCTGCTTTCCAGGGGAAGAAAAACTAGGACAACTTAAAACACACACACACACACACACACACAAAAACCTTTAAAAATCAACAGCTTACAACAGCTTCTAGACCTCCTACCCTGGGTTTGTGTGGAAAGAGATTTATGAACCTTCCTCACTCTCAAGAAAACTAAGGCCCGGCCAGTGTGGCTCAGTGATTGAGCAGCAACCTATGAACCAGGAGGTCACACTTCTGACTCCCAGTCAGGGAACATGCCCAGGTTGTGGGCTCGATCCCCAGTAGGGGGCATGTTCTCTCTCATCATTGATGTTTCTATCTCCCTCTCCCGCTCCTCTCCCTTCCTCTCTGATACCAATAAAAATTAAAATTAAAATTAAAAAAAAAAGAAAAGAAGCACATTTGCTATTACTGTCTCCCCACCCCCTTCCACATGCAGCTCTGTCCAGTGAGAAGGCGCCAGTCTACAGCGGTCTGCGCCCTGAAGGATTCACACACAGTCCCCTCTGATCCCGAAACCCATGTCCATAACCATTGGGACACACGGCCACAGGTCCCTTAACAAAAGTAAGTCACGGGGAGGGCTGACTTTGAGGGAGGCCGTGCTGGGTAGGCATCTGGCATGCAGTTACCAATTTTATAAATGCAGGGCTGGAGCTAAGAGAGAGGGGCTGGAAATACAATTCGGGGAGACACTCCTAGAAAAGTGAAAGTGGGAACTATGGTGGCGAATTACCACAGGGAACGTTATCTAGAAAGGAGAGGAGCAGGTGAAGCTCAGATTCGGAAGTGGGAACAGACCACAGACAGGAGGCGCGGAGACGAAAGGCCCCAAGACAAACCAGTCTGGGGTTGAAAGCAGTGAGGGAGGAAGGGCACACACCTAGGTTTTGGGTTCCATCCCTGGTTAGGGCTTGTGTGGGAGGAAGCAACTGATGGATCTATCTAGCTCAGTGATGGCAAACCTATGACACGCGTGTCCAAGGTGACACGTGAACTCATTTTTTTGGTTGTTTTTTCTTTGTTAAATGGCATTTAAATATATAAAATAAATATCAAAAATATAAGTCTTTGTTTTACTATGGTTGCAAATATCAAAAAATTTCTATATGTGACACGGCACCAGAGTTAAGTTAGGGTTTTTCAAAATGCTGACACGCCGAGCTCAAAAGGTTCGCCATCACTGATCTAGCTCTATCTATCTCTTCCTCTCTCTCCCTCTCTCTTTTCCTCTCTAGAATCAATGGAAACATGTTCTTGGGTGAGGATTTTTTTTTTTAACTTTTCCAATGATCTTATTGAAGAAGTTCAGGGTAAAGACGTGTTTATTCAGCAAGTACTTATTGAACGCCTCCCATTTGCCAAGCAGTTTTCCTCTATAAAAATCAAAACCCTGAGGCAGCATAGACCACCCAAAACATCGGAAGTACTTTTGCGCCAACCAGATCATCAGTTCAAGGGAGATTAAACAGCTGGTCATTCAAACAGCAGATTCTGACTCTACAAGTATGAAAGCACCACCACAAGGCAGCCATCGGCCCTGTCATCTGTTCATTATCACTGTCATTTACCAAAAATAAACGCATAGCTTCTTCCAAGGACGAGGGGAGCCCGGAGAGTTAAGAGTTACAAACCAACACCCTGGAGAGAAAAGGGCCAGAAGGAAATGAGGGAATCGGGGAAGGAAGAACGCAGACAATTCAATCGAGTTTCAGAATCGAATCAGTAGGGAAATTTACTTAATGAAATTACAGAGTAAAAGATCAAACCATAAATAAAACCCCCAGAAACATTATATGATTATGGAAATTAATGGTTTCAGAGTGCATGAGGTGAATGTGAAATGAGTCTCGATCCACTTACAAATCCTATCACGAGAAAACATATAAGCGAGACCGATCTAAACTACATGCTTCACCATCGTCCCCAACTTCCTTGTGTTTTCACAATTAAAATACCTCTCCCAATTTCAATTCACTTGTCCATGAAAAGAAAATGACAGCAAAACAAGCAGGAGAGAAAAGAAGCATGCGTGAGAAGTGAATTTCAAAGATTTCCGAAGCTGAGGAGTATTTTCAAATCAATAAACAAGGCACCTAATGATTCTCTACCGTAGGTCTCTTGATTTAAATGAAAATAAAGTCCAGCTTTCCCTTCTCTGAGCCAAACTGGAAACTGCACCATAATTAGAAGTCGTAATTTCTGAGTGATTCACTAAATTATCAGGAAGGCAATATATATAACATCGTTTCAGTAAAGTCATATTAACACTAAACGAGCCTCAAATATTACACGAGATGGTATTTCAATCAAGATATCATGTTAAACAAAACCCGTATAACTACTTAACTGTAAAGACATTATTGAAAGCCTTTTATAGCCAAATACTGATTAAAGTTTGGAGCGTTTTTTGTTTTGTTTTTGAAGTATAATTGACATATACATCATATTAGTTTCAGGTGTACCTCGTGATTCGACATTTGTATACATTACAAAATGATCACCGTACATCTGTTACTACACAAAGTTATAATTTTATTTCTTGTAATTAAAAACTTAGGATTTTTTTTTTAGCAAATTTCAGTTTTACAACACAGTATTACTGACTATAGTCACCATGCTGTACATTACATCCCCATTTTATAACTGGAAGTTTGTATCTTGATCCCCTTCACCCATTTCACTTACCCCCAAAATCTTCTGCCTCTGGCAACCACCCATCTGTTCTCTGAGTCTATGAGATGGTTTTGTTTTCTTTGCTATTTTTTTTAGATTTCACATATAAATGAAATCATAAGGCATTTGTCTTTCTCTGCCTGACTTATTTCACTTAGCATAATAGCCTCAAGAGCCACCCATGTTGCTGCAAATGGTAAAATGTCATTCTTTTCTATGGCTGAGTAGTATCCCACTGTATATGTACCACATCTTCTTTAACCGTTCATCTGTTGTTTTCATATCTCGGCTATTATACACAATGCTGCAATGAGCATAGGGTTCATATATTTTATGAATTAGGTTTTCCTTTTCTTTGAATAAATACCCAGAAATAGAATTGCTGAATCATAAGAAAGTTCTATTTTTAATTTTTTGAGGAAACTCCGTGCTGTCTCCCATAGTGGCTGCACCAGTCCGCATTCAGACCCACCGTGCACAGGGTTCCTCTCTGTTCACACCCTCACCAACACCTGTTATCCCTTCTTTCTGACAACTGCCCTTCTGTCGGCTGTGAGGTGACATCTCATTGTGGTTTGATTTACCTTCCCCTGATGATTAGCGACATGGAGCACCTTTTCATGGTGGAACACCTCTTCATGCACTTGTTGGCCCTATGTGCCTTCTTTGCAAAAATGTCTGTTTAGATTCTCTGCCCATTTTTTTAATCAAATTGTTTGTTTTGTGGTTATCAAGTTGTAGACGTATTTATATCTTTTAGATGTTAACCCCTTATGAGATACATGATTTGCAAATACCTCCACCCATTCAGTAGCTTGCCTTTTGGTTTTGTTGATGGGTTACCTTTGCTTTGCAGAGCTTTTCCGTTTGATGTAGTTCCACTTATTTTCGCTTTTGTTGCTCCTGCCTTTGAAACCAGTTCCATAAAGACATAGCTAAGGCCACTGTCAAGGAGCTTCCTGCCTGTTTTCTTCTAGAACTTTCAAGGTTTCAGGTCTTACATTCAAGTAACCCAGTTGGAGTTGATTTTTGTGTGTGGTATAAGATAGTGGTTAAGATAGTTTCATTCTTTGCACGTGACTGTCCAGTTTTCCCAACACCATGTATGAGAGGCTACCCTTTCCCTGGTGTATATTCTTGCCTCCTTTGTCAGAAATTAACTGGTCACATACGCTTGGGTTTATTTCTGGGCTCTCTATTCCATTGATCTATGTGCCTGTTTTTGTGCCAATGCCATGTTGCTTCAATCACTATAGCTTTGTAATAGAGTTTCAAATCCAGGCGCGTGATGCCTATAGCTTTGCTCTTCTTTCTCAAGATTGCTTTGACTGTTTGGGGTCCAAACAAATTCTAGGATTGTTTTATTTCTATGAAAAATGCCGTTAGAATTTTGATAGGTATTTCACTGAATTTGTAGATTGCTTTGGGTAATGACATTTTTTTAATTCTTCCTCCATTCACACAAAATATCTTTTTATTTGTGTCCTCTTCAATTTCTT